CCGTGCTGCTTATATTTATCAATCAGTAAAAATGCCCCTCCCCGTGCCCAAAACGGGTTGCCTGTGGATGAGAATCCAAAACAAGGATTGGTGGGAGGTTGTCCTGCTCCACTTCACAGTTTACCGAGTGAAAGGAAAGTTTATAATGACAGGACACGCATTTATACAACACTTTATTCAAAAGGAAGATCCGTTCGTTCCATGCGTCATATGTCATTACACAATTTCTGCGTCATTGCACAAGCGCAGTCCTTTCAGTTTCGGGGTTTAGTCCGATCGAGTGTTTACATGCACTCTCAATCGTATTAGAAAAGGAATAAACCACCCCCTTCAATCCGATCGAAATTTCATTCCGATCGAGCTCAATCAGATCGATTAAGGTGTTTACATGAAGGCTTTTCAGTCCGATTGAGCCGTCAATCCAACACGGTTTTGATGATAATTAAATTTTAAACGGTAATACTAACCGTCAGGGCATTTTATCGTGATTTATCGTGAAACCGGTAATCGTTCCATCCCTATTCCATATACACAAAAAGAAGCCTTTGGTTGATGTTGTGGCATGTTTTTTCATAAATTCAATTTTCTCTATAGAAATCTAGCCATGATTATCTATTGGCTGCTCTTTGTCACTTTTGGCATTTTAAACACTTTTGTTGGCCAGAGAGTGAACCAGTGAAAAGGTCACAGCATGGCTTCAGTGTGTTGCCCAGCAGTGGACTAGAGAGGGGAAACAAGCTGTAAGATAAGTGCACCCACACTGGAGACTTCACAGATTGGATAAAGCTGGCCAGTGCTGTGTTTTTCCTGGACTCCCAAGTGCTTTTCCAATGCTGTCAATGAGATGTGGCGAAAGGAAATGGCTGCATGGTGTTGAAACTTTTCAAAGAGTTTCTCCTCATTTCTCCATTCCTAAACCACTGATGCAGTGTTGTACTAATTTGCATAGAGTTTTAGAGCTAGTGAATTTATTGCAGATTAGTTGAATAAACCCAACTAAACGCTTTCAGCACTACAAATTGGTTTTGTGAGCGCAATCTTTATTTTTATTATACAGTATTTTTATTTAATATTTTATATATAGTCAAAAATGTCTGGGAAAAAACATGGAAATTCATTGTATACATTGTATTCCACACACACACACACATATATGTTTGAGCAAATGGTTATTGCGTGTTTTGTCAACTGTTATCCCTGCTGCTCATCGCTTTTGATACCGTCCATGTTGCTTCACTTTTCATGAGTGGGCTTACTCAATGAATCATCCTCGGCGTGATCTCAAGTGCTACATTTGTGACTATCTACACTAGTGGTTTACAATGCAGGTGTTAATGCAACATTGAGTGTTTTTACACCGAGGAGTGGGTCTGGGGTGACTTTGAGTTCAACAGTTATTCCATCGGTCAACGGTTAATACTTTGGTCTGAATGTACAGAAGTAAATCAGTTAAGCTATTGCTTAGATTTTATCTTGCATGATCAGTTCCATTGTGAGTGATACTTTAGGTCTAAAATCAGAGAGAGATAACATATCGACAAACATTCCCTGTGAGGGAGTGAACATGTGACTGGCTTTGCTCGGGTGGGCCATTGAGATCACCAATCAGCTGAATGACTCTCCCCTGCAGCCATTTCCAGGAGAGAAAGCTCTTTTTCTGTGGACCAGCGCAGAAGCCTGCAGTAAAACAGGCTTTGACAAAAGACATAATTGTGCCAGGTTAATCATGGCTATCCACTACCCATGTTCCCATTCCATGGTTGACCTCTTTATTTTTTATCCATGTGTCCCTTTTCCTTTGATATTTTTTGTAAGTTTCCTCAATCCATGCATTGTATGTTTTGCCGCCTCCTCACAGGATGCTCATCAATGTAGCCAACAAATAATCACAAATGGAGGGTCTTGTTTGGACTGCTTGTATTGATATTACCCTGGCTTGACTTTTCTGCCATATTATACATGCAAAGAGAAGTTTTGGTTTCTCTTTTACAGTATTCATACACATATCAAAGTCCTACAGAACTATTGGAGTCAGCAACGTTGGTCTTCCTTTGGCTTTGAGCTTTATGTTAAAGCTCTGGAATCAATTTAGTGAGGAATGCAAAGGACTGTTAACAGTCTTGAAATTTGCATGCCATTCATAACTTCTCCTTTTATCACTGTTGGACTGGTGTTTTCCGCTGCTGTGAAAAAGATTTGCAATATACTGTATATCGGTTCATATCTGGAGTTTGATTTCTGAGAAGAGAAAAAGAGCTGCCCATTTCTTTTATCGATTCACATCGACATGTTTTCCCTCGAGGGAGAGAAGTGCAAAGCACTCTTGACAGGCTAGCCTCATATTTTACAGGAGCAAAGCATGCAGAGACATAAAACGGGGTCCATCTATAATGCATAGTGAAAGTGTACAAGACATTAGTTCAGATTTGCAGGTATAGCAGCGTACAAGGTCTTTAAAATGAAATGAACTGTGTGTCTAAAGATCAGGCAGGGATCTGGCCATGCATTATGAAACAAAAAAATACACTGAATGTTATATTTTCAGGTAAATGAAAAGTGATCGTTATTACTCCATTACTCCTGTTGTGTCAGCTGTTTAAACAAAAATTTAATTTCACTGCTTTTTTGCAGGATGTCGGAGGCTTTATCACAGCAAGAGAGACTTCGGGCCATTGCTGTAAGTAAATAATTACACTATTTCTAATTTATTTATATAACTAGGCTACTAAACTAACTAATCAAAAGTAATTGATAATAAAAATAATGAATTCCATTATCGATTAGTCAGGTCTGTGCCGTGCACAGAGGAGCTTCATCAGTGGCATCACTTTACAGTAGTGAAACACACATTTCTATCTGGAATAATTTTTATTATTATTCATTTATTTTATTTTTGAAAGAAATTAATGTGTTTAATCTTCATGGATGCATTATTTAGTAAAGACATTTTTAATGTTATAAAAGATTTCTGTTTCAAGCAAGTGTTGTTCTTTTGAGCTTCCTATTCATCAAAGAATCTTGAAATTCAGTTTTGCCATCACAGGAATAAATTTTAAAATATATTCAAATTGAAAACGGTTATTTTAAATTGTAATAATATTTCACAATATTTCTGTTTTATTATATTTTTAATCACATAAATGCATACGAGCATAAGACACGTCTTTCAAAAACATAAAAAATCTTACCAACCCCAAACATGTGAACAATAGTGCATACCGAAAATAAAATGAATCTTTTTATACGATTAATTGAAGAAATATGCAACTTGGTTGTTATATTGCTATATACTAATCACGCAGAACCAGAATGAGGACAGATGTCAGGATACAGATCAGAAGCACAGAAGGCCTAAGTGATGTTAGTCTTATGAGGCATTATGCTCCTACAGTATGTCAGTGACTGTCTATAATGGCTAATGTATGCCCAACCATCAGCACTAATGCACTTCTGTGTGTTTAATTATTGATGGGGCTTAGCATTGTTTTGTGAACAACTAGAATAATGTTGCCTTTAACTGCTCCCGTTTATCCGTCTTCTGAGAAGTGGAGACTTCCTGGATGAACGTACATGGTCAAGAGTTTTATTGGGAGTTGTGCGTTTCAGTTTAATGAAATTCTGGCTAATATGTTCACACAGGAGCAGAATATGGCTGTCGGTCCGGTTCAAGTGCTAAATACAGCTTTATGTCATTGGAAGGTTTTAGATCCAGTCACTGTCTTTTATCAGATCCTCTCCTGTCAGTTTTGTGGCCTGGGCGTCACCCAAATGCTGCATTATACATTCAGTTAAAAAATATATATTTTAAAGCCACTGTTGGTTAATTAAGATTAGGGTTGGGTACCGTTCACATTTTAACCGGTACGGTACCGGTATCGGTACCTGAATTTCGATGCCGGTACCCAACGGTACCTTTTTTCGGTACTTTACTCTCTGTGTAATTACAAAAACATTTATTTCAGTGAAAAAATAAGTCCAAAAGTCTCAATTTCTACATTTTGAACAATAGTGACCTACAAACTTTTTTTTTTCTTTTCTTTTTTTTCCCCCCCCAGAAATTCTTTTTTTGAAAATCAAATGAAGGCATTAAACATTTATTTTAAATCAAATGGAAATTAAATCCTTTTATTTTTTGGCAAACAAACTGAGGCTTACTGTTGAAATTAATACATGGAAGAAAAATTTTGTGAATATTCCGCGAAGTGACTCTCACAGTGACAGCAGCTCTGGAGATTAAGTTGTTGTGTTCATGCCGTCATATAGTGAGATGCAGAGGCAGGAAATCACCGTGATCGAGCGTCACGCGTGCTTCAGTATTTGTGTAGTAAACAAACCGCGTTTCCGCCAGTCATACATACAGAGGCAAGCGGAATATTAAATGAATATTAAATTCATATTTAAACCATCTTTTTGCATTTTAATATTCACAGACACTAGTTCATATCGCGATTCGAATTGAGTGGCAGTGGCTACTTTTGATTTATTCGTCCAAAATTGACGAATTGCGTGGCATTCCGCGCTATAGAATAAATTACGTTTTTATGAATGGACTCCGCGATCCCGTCTGCGTTTTCGCAGAAACCATATAGCCCTAGAAATGTAACCACACTTCACAACATTTCGGCTTGCC